TTTTCTTGCTTTCTTTTTCTTGCTTTCTTTTTCTTGCTTTCTTTTTCTTTCTTTTTCTTTCTTTCTTTTTCCTTCTTTTTTTCTCTTTCTTTCTTTTCTTTCTTTCTTTCTTTCCCCCTCCCTCTCTCTCGCTCTCATCTCCCCCTCTCCTCTCCCTCCCTCTTTCTCCTGCAGGCGGAGGGAGCCTTTTTGCCATCCATGGGGATTGCGAAGCTTACGACACGCGGACTGACCGCTGGCACATGGTGGCCTCCATGTCTACCCGCCGGGCCAGGGTGGGGGTTGCGGCCATTGGGAACAAGCTTTATGCTGTGGGAGGGTAAGCAGGACTCCCTCTCCCCCCCCCCCCCCCAAGGCAGAATTGGCCGCCGTGATCCTTGAGTGGCTCCCATTTGATATTTGGATGGAATCGCTTGGGAGGGAGAGAAGGGGAGGGACGAAAGGAGGAAGAGGAAGGCGGCAGCTGCAAGATTTAAAAGAAAAAAAGTGGCACCGAGCTACAGAAATGGAAAGCGCCCCAAGGGAAAATAAAGAAGGAAGGGAATGATAAATAGAGAAAAGGAAAGTGAGAGAGGGAAGAATGAAGGAAGACAAGGGAAAGGAAAGGAAGGAACGATAAATGGAGAAAAAGAAGCTGAGAGAGGGAAGAATGAAGGAAGACAAGGGAAAGGAAAGGAAGGAAAGATAAATGGAGAAAAGGAAGGTGAGGGAAGGAAGAAGGAAAGGAAAGATAAATGGAGAAAAGGAAAGGGGGGAGGGAGGGAAGAAGAAGGAAGGAAGGTGAGGGAAAGATAAACTGAGAAAAGGAAAATGAGAGAGAGAAAAATAAAAGGAAGGAAGGTGAGGAAGGGAATGGAGAGGAAGGTAGAGGGAGGGAAGCAGAAAAGGAAGGAAGAATAGATGATAGGTAGACAGACAGAAAGAATTGAAAGAAAGAAACATGGGTGCATAGATTTACTATCCTCATAGCAAATTGGGTATTACTAGCATACCCCCTCTGAGATTCATGCTAATAAATAATAAACCTTCTCTCTTCATAAATATATATTTTTAGCCATAAACATATTTTTAGCCTAGCCATATATATATATATATATATATATATATATATATATATATATATATATATATATATTAGCCATGTTTCCATGACGTTGGCCTATCTCACCTCCAGTCCATGAAAGACATTTAAGTAGTCCTTATTTTCCCCAGAGTGAAATGTAGTGCTTCTCCTCTTCAGCAAAAGCTTCAGCAATAGCTGAAAGAGGTATAAAATTGGTTATGCTTTTCTGTCATTTAAAGCAGAGATAGAAAGTCAGGTGACCCAGTTGGAAGAGAGACAAGGGGATGGGGAAGTATCAGAGAAGCATGTTTGGTCCATTTCAGGATGACTTTGGGCATACCCGTCCCTTCTGGTGTGAGGTTTGTCTGTTGCCATTCTTCTAAAGAACATTTAAAGAATGCTAAAGATTTCAGACAAGTCTTTTAGATTTCCATCTTTTTTCTGGTAACTCTGCTTTTGATGCATGTAAAGAATTCAGTATCTTCAGTATCTACTAAGAAGATATGTGCCAAAGGCTGGAAAATCAATGATGCTCCAGAAGACTAAGGAGAGCAAATGTTCAAAAAGGAGGAAAACTGGGAAAACTTTAGGTCTGTCAGCTGGACATTTCGTACTGGGCAATGTACTTGAACAGATTATCAAGCCGCATGTTTCTGAGCACTTGGATAGACATGTTATGATTGACAGGATCCAGTGTGGATTTGTCACATACAAACCATGCCATACTAAGTTTATCTTTTTTTGTAATAGTATTTAGCTCAGCAGGTCAGGGGAATGCTGTAAAGATAGCATACCCAGACTTCAAAAAAATTTTGACAGAGCTTTTCATGGTATTCTTCCTAATAAAATGGTAAAGTATGTCAGTTAGACTTACAGTGGGCTGAAAAAGTACACATAAAGAGTGCTCATTAACGGCTCTACTTTAGCTTGGAGGCAAATATTGAGTAGAGTTACAGAGGCTTTTTCCTTCTCCTTGAACTATTCAACATTTTTTTTATCAATGATTGGAGGAGGGAGTTAAGGGAATATTTAGACAGTTCTTCGGATAACATAAAGCTAGGAGGCTGGATAAAATGTTCGATAATAGAAGTTTCAAAAGGATATAGGAAAGCTTGAGCAGGAGACTGAAATGAATAAGATAGACTTTAATTGAGAAGAAAAATATTCAGTATTGTATTTGAGTAGGGAATATATAAGGTATTTGTGTAGGATGGGGGAGATCTGGCTTGGCAATAGGGTTATGAATATATTTGTCAGCCACATGTCCTAATAGTGTGATGCAGCTGCTAAAAAGTCAAATGCTTTCTTGAGGCACATTAATAAATGCATTGAATCCAGATTATGGGACATAATTGTTTCACAATATTCTGCCCCAGGAAGTCCCCACTTGGAGTACTGGGTTCAGATCTGACTACCAGAATTCTAGTAAAACAGTAGCAAATTGGAACAAATTCAGAGGAATGCTACCCAGATTGTAAGGAATCTGGAAACCAATCCCTGTGAAGGACAGTTAAAAGATTAGGATATGTTTAGCCTACAGGGGGGAAAAAACCCAGAGGGGAGATATAATAGCAGTCAACAAAAATCTGAAGGGTTGTCCCAGGAGAAGAAATGGAGTTATTCTGCATTGCCAGAGGACTGGACCAGAACCAATTGTTAAAATTACGAGGAAGCAATTTCAGATTAGAAATCTAGAGGAATTTCCTGATTGTGCAAGACACTCAAAATGGACTAGCACATGTAATAGTGAATTCTCTTTTCTAGAGGTCTTTAATCACAGGCTGGATTGGCAGATGTCAGAGATGTTTACTGGATCCTGTACTGCTCAGGAAGATTGGGCTAGATGTTATTCAAGATATTTTCCAACTCAAATAATGGATTATATTTTCATGCAGTTCTCCATGTGTGCAGACCAAGACAATCCTCCTCTAAAACAGACACACAGGCAAAAAATTAATGTATTTCTGAGTAGCCCAAGGCAGAGTAGGAAATGAATTTGATCTGTGCTGAATGGGTTACATCACCTCTCAACTTGCCAGTTAGGGCTCAGGGAGAGGAATGCTTTTGCCTTGTTGGTACATTACATATGCTTTTTAATGGAAATAGCCATTTTGATTGTACTGACATGTGCTTGGAATGCTTTAACATGTTCTCAGTAAACTGATTTTGGATTTAGACACTTCAGCTGCCCCAGAATGTTGGTGGCCAAGTCAGTCTAGCAATCAGGAGTAATTATAGAAATCACATGATCTCTTTGTCCGAATCATTCCAGTGGCTACTGGTCTGTTAAAATACACGATTCAGAATCCTAGTTCTATAAAAATGTAAAGGTACCCTCGAATGACTCTAGGGGGCGGTGCTCATCTCCGTTTCAAAGCCGAAGAGCCAGCGCTGTCCAAAGACATCTCCGTGGTCATGTGGCCGGCATGACTAAACACCGAAGGCACACAGAACGCTGTTACCTTCCCACCCAATGTGCTTCCTATTTTTTTTTTCTACTTGCATTTTTACATTTTTTTGTATAAATTTTTTTTATTTTTAGACAAACAT